TAACCACCATAAAAAATTAGGAAATAAATATAAATTATGCCTCTTTCATTCATAAATTATGATAACAGATTATAACATGAAAACATAAATGTTTAGGCTAAGTATCTTAAATCTCATAACATTATACAATTATATATATATTTATTATTTTTATTATCTTTACCATTCAGCCGTTGGCTAACAATACAGAAGTTACTATGATGTGGCACATATGTATTCATGTTACCGTATCCAATAATATAAAACTGACCTGTAGTCTTTACAAAGTGACCTTTCTTGGCTATGTTTTAGTAGACTAGTATTTTGTTAAAATAGTCATATTTCAATTATACATGATTTTTGTATATAAATTATTGCTATATAGAAATAAGTTATTAAACTTATTTTTCTTAAAACATAGAACAGTAACTAAAGAAGTAAAGCAAACAATTATCTCTTCTAGTTATGACCTTTGTGCTCAGTTGCTAAGCCTTTTAAAATTTTGCATATGGAGGATATGAAACAAAATATTTTTTTTTAGGTTTTATACATACAGTTGAATAACCAAGATATCATAAATTACTATATCAATACCATAGAATTCCACTATAATTGATCAAGCTTAGTAACTAAGCTGTATTTGGGTCTAAAAAAAATATGAATTTTTGAGCAGACTAAAGACTCAACCTACATCCTTTAAATCTTGTTTCGAAAGAACAAGATGGTATCGTAACACTTGAAAATGGCTGAGAATTCCACTAGGGGTACATTCTAAGCTTTTGATTGGTTATTCACATGTCATATACAGAAGTAAGTGTATATAAAGGAGTGTTTACAAAAATGGAAAGAGGTGGGCAGGGTGCCACTGTGTTTGATTCGGTACATGAAGGATATCTTAGCAAATTGAGAAGATAAAAGGCTCTTATTTTATATTCTAGCTTGTCAATATCAGTAATTGGAGTTTCTAATTCATATGATACTATACACTTAGTATTTTGACTTCACAGACATCTGATTTGAACCAGTTCTGCATTTAACATTCTATGGGACACACAAAAAATCAATGTTTATCTGTGTTTTTTAATATTTGCTTTTAAATTAAGAAATTTAGTAATATATAGTACTAAAATACAGTTTGATACCAAATTTATTAACATAATTTCATGGAATAGTAGTTCAATAAAATTTTGAATGGGAGTTAATAAACGAGATGACATGGCCTTTCACTCATGACCTCTCTCGAAAGGGTTAATTTATTGCCTTTTTCATTATTGCCCTTAAATGATAGACTTTTCAGATTTACCATTGTATGAAAACAACTGTATGGAGTTGCATTTACCAAAGTGGTTAGTCTTTTGTTGTTGTTTCTTATGTGTGAAATGTTACCATTCTGGCCAAAAGTGTCAAGACAGGATAAAACTATAAGAATTTATGAATATGTACTTTGTTATTTCTTGTTCTTTCATGATTTACAAATTATTCCATTTTAAAGTGTGTACAGCTATTTGTTTGCTTATGTACACTATCCTACCAAAAGTCATGAGACATAGGTAGTTAAGAATAAAACGTGACTTTATTCCAAGGAATTAATAGCATGTTGGCCCACCTTTAGCCTTAATGGCTGCTTCAATGCATCGTGGAAAACTGTCTACTAATTTCTGGTAGAAAGTTGGTGGTATTGTGCTCCACTTCTCTCTTAAAGCATTTATAAGCTCCACTACTGAAGGCCATCTTGGCCTTGTCCTAATTCTGCATTCCAGTTCATCCCAAAGATGTTCTATCAGGTTGAGATCAGGGCTCTGTGCTGATCACTGCAATGCTCTGATGTTATTCTCTTCAAACCACGTGTGACCTTGCTTTGTGACATGGAGTGTTATCATGTTAGAAGATATGAGGGCCGGTGCCATAAAACTGCCACAATGTAGGACACACAGAATTGTTCAGAACATCAATGTGTAGGACTCAGTATTCATGGATCCATGCACTGTAACCAGTGGACCTAGTCTATACCACAAGAAGCACCCCCAGAACATGATACTGCCATCTCCAAACTTCACTGTTGACACAACATACTCAAGTAATAAGCGTTCTCCAGGCATCCTCCACACCCAAACATGTCCATCAGGCTAGAAGAGCATGTAGCATGACTTGTCGCTCCACAGAACAGATTTCCATTGATCCACAGTTCAGGTTCAGTGTGTGTTGCCCCACGCCAATCGACAGGTGCATTTGTTTTTGTTATCAACGGCTTGTGGGCTGCAGCTCTTCCATGAAAATTCATGGCATGCAGCCCTCAACGTATCATGGAAACATTTGTAGGATTGCCTGTGGCTGCTTGCATCTCCAAAAACAGATTCTCCAGGTGTGATGGCGAGATGAGGTAACCAGCCTCCTCAAGTGCGTGTCAGCTGCTGTCAGTCAGTATTTTATGCCTACCTGGTTGTTTCTTGGGCTCATTGTCACCTGTGGACTGCCATTTCTTCAGCACATTGCCAATTGTCGATCTGGGAATGTTTAATTGTTGCGCAATAAAATGTACAGACATTTTCCCCAAATGATATCCAACCATCCTTCCCCTCTGAAACTCTGTTAGCTCTTTCCGTGGATTCATTGTTCGGCACACAAGTTTTGTGCACTTGCATGTGTCTTTATCAAGAGAGATAATGTTTTGGTATGTTAAAATAGTTATAAGATGGTTTGTATAATTGTATGTACATTTGTAATAAATAGGACTGATCTTGTACTACTGATACCAAAAGTTGATATAATTTTGCCCAATTTTCCATTGTGTATTACTAAATGTTGTAATGCAGGATTAAAAGAAATCTTACATAGCTAGTTTTGGTTTTGTTTTTATGCTTGGAGTATATTTCAGGTATATAGCATTCAAATGTCTAACAATTTTCCTAATTTTGTAGGTTTTAAGAAATGTACAGACAGTTAACTCATTGAAAACTCAGATTTTATTACTAACTAGCCGTGATACTAATTAGGTAATATATAAAGGTATGATTGCATTACTTTGTGTGCGTGTGTGTGTGTGGCACTCTTTGGACATAGGTTGAAAATTGATTAAGAAATTCAGAAAATTATAATGTAATGAAAGTAATGGGAGCAGTTGTTACTATCTTACATACTAGAGAATAAAGAACTATAGATAAGTATTCATAATTTATGTTAATGATATTTAGGCTTTACAGCTCCTGCTTAAGCCTTTGATAATGATTTATGTGATAGTCCTGCAGTGAACTGTTTATTTTAGGAGATTTTCGTGCAATACATGAATGTTGTTTGTTGTTGTTCTCCTTCTCTTTGCATGATCTTCAAAATCCACCAGTTGTGCACAAACAATGACTTGACTTGCTAAGATTAATTTCTACACAATTGAAAGATTCAAAAGTCCGTAAGAGATGTTTGGAAGTGGTATCTTATGAATTTCTGGTTGTATTTGCATCTTGTGAAAAACTAGCATATTAAAATGGATGTGTGTCTGGATGCAATGTCTTGATGGAATTATATGTTTTAGGAATCCAGTCCATACAAAAAAAATGATATTTTCTTGCAATATAGTGATATCAACATATTAACCTGATAGTAATAGTATGCAGAGATCACTTTAACCTTCTTCTCGATTATGTATGTTTAAGTTACCATTATACCATTCTTATTAAAAAAAAACTTTTGTGACACCTCTATACCATTTTTTGAAATGTTGTATCACTGGCAGAACAACAGTGAATTTCCTGGACTTTTGAAGGCACTTTGACTTGAGAGAAACTTATAAACACAGCTCTTGTGTTAATTTTGTAGGAATAAAATCTGTGTGAATTATATTATTTACAGCTCCAAGGTAGGAATCTATTTTAGCTACAATGGACCACTGTGTTATTTATTTACTTCCTGTTAGAGCTTAGTGACTTAATCAATATGATTGAATATCTCTGGGCAGTGATAACATCGGGTAGTGACTAATCAAAATTAAGATCATATCGGTTGTCACAAAAATAATCAAAACTAGTGTTTCCAATTTTTACTGTTTTTGATTAATCTAACAATCAATTAATGAAATTCTAATTAAATTGATTGATATAAAAATTATCATCTAATCATCTTTAGGGTTTCCAATTATTCCAACTATCCAAGTAATTGAAATATTGTCTCAAAACCTGCTTGTCTTATCTTTTTTATGACAAAGCTAGATATGTTATCTGCCACTGTCACTAATTTTCAACTGTTGACTAGAGGGATGACAACCAGCTGGCAGCACTTATTTTTATGCTAACTTACAGGTACATACCATGGTTTGAAGAACACTGTACTAATCGATTAATGAGGCCATTGATTAATCAGTTAACAACTACTGCTAATTGCCAAGCTTAATATCCGGTTACAAGCTATTTAACTTTCTTCACTATTTTCAGTGTCAAATTAGTAGTCTGTCATGGAATTACCTGTTTTTCCTGTGAGAACACATTCCATTGCTTTATTGATGTGGTTTAACCTTACATATATCTCCTTTCTTTAAAACACTAACATTTATAGTGAGAACACATTCCATTGCTTTATTGATAAGGTTTAATCATACATATATCCCCTTTCTTCAAAACACTAACATTTATAGTCTTGCATTTTTTTATATCCCCTTTCTTTAAAACACCAACATTTATAGTGAGAACACATTCCATTGCTTTATTGATAAGGTTTAATCATACATATATCCCCTTTCTTCAAAACACTAACATTTATAGTCTTGCATTTTTTTATTATTTTGGAATAGAAAAACTTCATGTTTAAAGTCCTTAATGTAACCCTCCTAAAAGGTGTCAGATTTAGGAGCTACCTGCACATGCAAATCACAGTACTTCAACTGAAAAGTAACAAGAGGGTCAGTTGTATGGTCACAGACCATGGGTATGGTGTAGGGACAAGGTGATTGGATATGCAGTTGATATAATAGGTATTGAACAACTCTGTGTAGATAAATGTTTAATAATCTCATTAACATAGTTGTAGAGAGTAATGAATCATATACCAAAGATTATGCACTGAGGATTCCAAAGAAACATGTAAGGTATGAAAAACATTCTGGGGACTACAAGAAAGTTAGGATTATTAAAAGAATGTAATAAAGTTGAAGTTTTTGAAAGGAGTCTATAACTGGTGGCCTTGGTTATGGTTTTTAATGTGTATCTGATTTAAACAAATTTCTTTTTTCTGTAGGCATTTCTGGAGATGGCTGATGAGACAGCTGCCTCAAAAATGGTAAACTACTACAACAATTCAGGAGTTCCAGTTATCCGGGGCCGCACAGTCTATGTCCAGTTTTCTAACCATAAAGAATTGAAAACAGACAGCACACATCCTGGTTCGGTCAGTAGCATGTTAAATTTTGTGAACAAGATTTAGAGGAATAAGTAATCAGAAAACCAATATTTCCCAAGTTATATGACGTGTTTAGAATTAACTATCAATAAAACTTTAATAGTCACAGCAGTTTATATTTTTTTTAATTTTTGGTTAGGTAAGAATAGCCATGTGATAAGTTGTAGGCATAATCTTTAGTTTTAACTGTTACACATCAGATATCAACCCAAGCAGCTTTACAAGCAGCCCAAGCCCTGACTAACAAAATTGAAACTCAGGGAGGACCAAATACAGTACTTAGAGTCATAGTGGACAACCAGGTCTATCCCATCACTCTTGATGTTCTATACCAGGTACAGTTGTAGTTTGTTTTTTTTTAACCTCAGTTTTAACTGATAACTGTAGTTAAAAATAAGCTTTTGTCAGGAATAGAATAAAAATAAAGTTTGCTTAAAATGCTACTTCACTGCTAAACTTGTTTTGACATTTATGTATGTATAGGGTTTGTATCATTAATGTGTGTAGTACAGTGAACATAATAGTATAATATAGTGATTTTTTGATGAGAAATCTAATGTTTGTTTCAACTAAGTTATCTGCATATTTAGAAAATTTCAGTAATCTTCAGTGCATCGTGTCCTTAAATTGGTTAATTTTATCTTCTGTTTTGTTTTAGATATTTTCTAGAGTTGGAAAAGTTTTGAAGATTATAACATTCACTAAAAACAGTAAGTATTTGATGTGAATAAGGAATATTTTATATGCTACAAAGAAACATTGTAATGTTATTTGTATAATGACTGTATTTGTATAGTATTCTCAATTTTTATAGAAATATTTAAAAGCTTTCATCTCAGTAAAATAGATAAATGTTCTTTTATTAACACTGGTGGCAGGCTACTCACACTTAGTTAGAAAGTTGCATTACATCATTCAAAATTTAGTAATATATGTATAAATGTATTTTGGTTACTTTTGAATGGAAAAATTACTTAATCCCTTCTGTGTCAGGCTTTTTTTTTAAATGAACTAAAAAAAGTCAAGTATTTTTTTTGTTTAGCCTACACTTAAACATTAATGAAATAATGATATTTTATGATCTGTTATTATATTTCTGCACAAAATATGCTTGCTTAATAAACATTACATATCCAGATTTATGCATAATATATTTTATTTTAACAAAACCACTAAAGAATAGGAATGCTCTTCTCCAGTGCTTACAATACACAATTTAGAATAAATCTGATATAGATCAGCACAAACAGCATTTTCAATGCCATCTAGCAAGCACTAATTGTAATACATGACAACATGCAAATAAATTTGGACAAGTACCGTATTTTTTGGAATATAAGATGCACTGGTTTATAAGACGCACCCTTATTTTGAAGACAAAGTTTT